GATTAAGTAACGCTGTGCAGAACTTCTGATCGATGAGAAACAGAGCTGCTTCAAACCTCTGCCCCTGAAGCCTTGGCTCTACGGACTTCACTAGGCCACCCACAGTTTTCCAAACTCTATGACGTGAGCCTGGGTGGCCACGGTGGCCACGCGGCGGCAGCTGGGTGTCAGCAGCACTGACATTCCCTGAACTCTCATTAGACACAGAAATCTGGGCCTTGTCTAGATGTTTAGATTCAAAACCGTATCTCATCAAGATCTCCCCACCCTGGGGGGTTGTCAGGATGGGTTCAGTTTGGGGAATCCTTGAACTTGATCATAGGGTGTTTCTCTTCCATTCCTCCAGGAGCCTGGGACCAAGAGTCAAGGAGGCAGGACTGAGAGGTTCTACCAGAGGACAGAGAGCTTGGAATAGACCCCTTCCTTATCTCTACCACTTGAGCCTCGGCCATCCCCCTCCTTTTGAAACATTTTTATTTTGTGTGTATGGGTGTTTCACCTGCATGTGTGTCTATGCACCATCACGTCTCTGCCTGGTGCCCAAGGAAGCCAGAAGAAAGCATTAGATTTTCTGGGACTGGAGTTACTGATGGTTGTAAGGTGCCACGTGAGTGGTGGGAATTGAACCTGGGTCCTCTGAAAGTGCAACAGGTTCTCTTAACCATTGAGTCATCTCTCCAGCCCTTAAAATCATCCCTTTTTGAAGTAAATCAGCTACAAAAGTCCCATTCAACAAGAGGAAGTCAATGAATGCATGTGTCCCCAATAGGGATAGCAGGGAGTCTCTGGTAGGTAGGCTGGGAAGGGTTCCACAGAGCATGGAGCCCACAGACTCATGGCCTGGAAGATTCCATGGAGCTTTTTCTAGATGAATGCCAACAAGTGAGAAAACCCAGGCTGGGAGTGGAATCAGGTAGTTGGCTTTAGCTGAAGATGACGTTTAAAGCTTTTTGTCTGTGAAGATGACTTTAAACAAACATGGGTTCCTGAGAGATCTCTGTTTGTCAGGAAGTTTAGGATGCATTGGTCCTCGTGACTTTCCTTCAAGAAAAGACAATGCACGTGCTGTGGGCCAGGAGATGGCCAAGGGAACAGGGACTCCATATTAGCAAGTCTGTTTTCAAGTCTCACGCTATGAGCCTGTGAGACAGCAAAGCAGAGTCCAAGAATCCCAAGGTCATGCATAGATCTTAGGACTCAGAGCTGCTGTACCCCAAACTGAAGTTCCAAGGATGTCAGACTGCAGCACAGCCCACCTCTGGAAGAATGTGGTTTAAGGAGCCCGCATGGGACTGATAAATGTTACAGTTGTATACCGTGGTCTTCTTGAGGGACTCCTAATAGTGGGAGCAGGTCCTGTCTGTCTCTTTTGCCGGCTTTTGGGATCCTACTCCTCATACTGGGCTGCCTTGTCCAGTTTTAATACAAGAAGAGGTGCCTAGTCTCATGGCAACTTGATATGCCATGTTTGGTTGATATCCAGCTGCCCACGTGTGAGGACCTGAGTTCCGATCTCCCGAACCAATGTAAAAAAGCTGGGCCTATACCCCCAGGGCTAGGGAGGTGGAAGCAGCAGGATCTTGGGGCATGCTGGCCAGTTGGGTTAGCTAAATCAGTGAGCTTTGAGCTCAATGAGAGACACTATTTTAAAAAGTAAGGCTGCTATTAATTAAGAAGGTCACCTGACATAAGTTTCTGTCCTCCACACATATATGTACATTCCCTCATATGTGCACACACATGAACATGTACACAATACAACACACATACGAAGACACCGAGAGATAGAATCCTTACTCAGTATGTTTAAGTTTCTCCTAGCATGAAAAAAAGAAAAGGGAAACACATCTACCATTTTCCCCTCATACCTCTTCTCTCTCCTTCTGAGGTTTTACCTCCCCAGATCCTTTGCTGGTGATACAAAGACCCAACAGGCCTCTATCTCTCTGCACTAAAGCAGGCCATGACGGTGTAGAAGGACTCATCACCATAGCCCTTACCATCACTGTCACCCCAAAGACTCTGGGTAGCCCTCCTGGGAAGCTGTGGCGTGTGCTCACTGTGGGACTTGTCAGAACATAATCCCTGTACCCACTGGCTCTGCCAAGGATGTGGGCAAGGTCACCCCAGAGCCGAAGGGGATGCTCACTGGCGAGGCCTTCCGTGTTCCTACCCCTGGTGTGTCTGTCGTGGATCTGACATGCCGCCTGGAGAAAGCCGCCAGGTACAATGGCATCCAGAAGATGGTGAAGCAGTGTTCACTAAATGGCATCCTGGGCTACCCTGAGGACCAGGTTGTCCCTCAAGTCTTCAACTGTGCTGCCCACCTTCTGCCTTTGCTGCTGGAGCTGGTGCTGTTCTCAGTAACAACACTGTAAAATCCATTTCCTGCTATGACAATGACAGGGTGGTGGATGACTTCCATGGCCTCCAAGGAGTAAGAAACTTTGGACAATTCACCCCCAAAAGAACAGAGAGAAAGAGAGAGGCCGTCGCTGCTGAGGAGTTCCTCTCCCAATTCAGTTCTGAAGCACGTACTTGAGTATCTATCTCCCCTCACAGTTTCCATTCCAGACCCACAGAAGAAGGGGGAGGAGCTTAGGGAGCACTGTTCTCTTGAACACCATCAATAAGTTCATTGCACTTGCCGAAATAAATAAAATAAAACAGAACAGAACAGGGAGGTGGGCAGTGTTTTCCTGGGCAGTTCCTCTCAGTCTCCTTCTTCCCCCCTTTCCTCATTCATCCTTAGTCAAGCCCAGACTCCAGGTCTTCCCCTGGATCCCACCCTCTACTCACACACCCGGCCATCTGCTCAGAGGCTGTACCAGTCTCTCTTGCCTGGTGGAGAGGGCCAGGGCCAGGGGTGGCTGAGCCAAAAGTGATTCCCATCTCCAAGTCCAGGGCTGCTTCCCAGCAAGCTCCATATGGGGGCCTGGATCGGCCTTCCTCAGAACAAAGGGGCATCTTCAGCCCAGCACGAGGGCTCCTGCCTGGAACAATCCATCACTCACCAGCCTGTTCACAGTCACAGTTGCAAATGTCCCCTGAGCCAGGAAGGAACTTGTCAGCTTTCACAGGAAAGGAGGCAGCATGCCATAGGAGTTAAGTGGGAGGATAGAGAGTTCAGGTTGCCCAGGCTGCAGCCTGGCTCTTCTGCCTCCCAGAATGTCACTACCAAATCCCATCCTCCTCCAGGCCCAGCTTTCTCATCTCTAAAAGGGGGGTTTTAGTGAATGTCTCCCTCAGTCGTTGTGATGAATCAATGAAATAAGTCGCATAAGGAATTTTGGGTGTTCATCGTCCACCCAGTACTGAATAAATGCTGGCTAGCATTTGACCAAAGTCAAAGCAGTGTTTTTAAGTTGTTTCCCTGAAGTACAGAAATTTAGGATGGAGAACACTGTCCACTGGCCTCTCAACCCTTGCCATTTCTCAAGAGGAGTGTCATTTTTTTCTCCTTCTTTCCTTTCTTTCTCTTCCTCCTCCAATACCCCCCCCCCCCATTGTTTGAGACAGGGTTTCTCTGTGTAAGAGTCCTGACTGTCCTGGAACTCATTTTGTAGGTCAGATTGGCCTCAAACTCAGAGATCCACCTTTTTCTGCCTCCCAAGTGCTGGGATTAAAGGCATGTGCCACCACCGCTTGGCTATTCTCTTCTCTTTTTAACATTTATTTATTGTGTGTGTGTATGTATGTTCAAGTGGAGCATGTGTGTGTGTTTGTGTGTGTGTGTGCGTGCACGCACGCATGCATGCACCAGAGATCAACCTTAAGTATATTCCTCAGCAATGCTGTCCACCTTGTTTTTTTGAGGCAAGGTTTCTCATTGGCACCTAAGGCTTACCAACTCAACTGAGCTGGCTGGGCAGTGAGATTCAGGGCTCCTCCTTGTGGTGATATTTTGTTTGTGCTATAACAAATAAAGCTTGCCTGACATCATAGTGGGGAGGTAGCCACTAGTTAGCCATAGAGGCCAGGCAGTAGTGGTACACACTTTTAATCCCAGCACTCAGGAGACAGAGGCAAACAGATTTCTGTGAGTTCAAGACCACCCTGGGCTACACAAGAACAATCCAATCTAAAAGAGAATCAGAGCCAGGCGGTGGTGGCTCACACCTTAAATCCCAATATTTAGGAGTCACATGCCTTTAATCCCAGCACCAGGGAGGTGGAGACAGGAAAGGATATGGCTGGGCAGAGAGAGGGATATAAAGCAGGTGGAGACAGGAGCTCACGGCATTCAGTCAGAGGATTCGCTAGAGGTAAGAAATAGTGGCTGGCTACTCTGCTTCGCTGATCTTTCAGCATTTACCCCTATATCTGACCAGGAGGTTTTATTATTAAAACCACTTAGCGTCCGTACTACACCCCCTATCTTCCCTTCCCCAGCTAGAACTACAGGCTGCTTCTGACAAGGGTTCCAGGGACCAAACTCAGGCCCTCTTGCTTGTGTGGCAAATGCTTTGTGATTCACTGTTTCCCCAGCACCATCTACCACATATTTTTGTTGTTGTTTTGTTCTTAAAGAAAATTGTTGACAGGTTTGAGAACCCTATTACTGGCATAGTGAAGACTTATCCTACTCAAAATGTTTCAAAAATTAATCTATAGCTAAAAATTTCATGTTATTAAAATGACTCTTTAAAAATCTAAGTACCCCACAAAATAAGGCAGATTATTCTATGTTTATACCCCAGAACACACTCAATGGACCAGGATGCTCCTGGCACGACACACAGCTTGAGAAGCTGAATGAAGACATGGGTGAGGCCCCACCAACAGCCTATGAGTCTCTGACTACAGTCTCGTCAGTTTACATTCGAGTCACTAAAAAGAGCACATGACATAACTGTCATTTCCATGCAAAGACACCCCTGTGCCACCAGCCAACTGAAAATCTGTTCTTCTGAGCTTCACAAAATGGGTCTCCCCCCGCACCCACACACACTGGTCACCAGGCTGGTTTATGTCAAGGGGAAAAAGCGGTATCTACTTACTTGCAGCCTGGATACGGGCCTTCCGACTGACCAGCAGCCCAAAGCGGTTCTGAGCCACGCACTCATAGTCCCCCTCGTCTGAAGGGCCACCTTCGTGGCCCAGCCTGAAGCAGTGGATCAGCAAGGACCCATTGGCCAGGAGGGTAGAGTGGGTGCCCTCAGGCAGCTCTGCTCCATTCTTCCTCCAGGAGACCTGCACTGGAGGGGTCCCCTCCACCCTGCAGCCCAGCACTATGGGCTGTCCAGGGACTGCAATATCATCATTTGGCTCCACAGCAAATGCCAGTTCAGCGGAGTGGCCCAGACCTGCGTCAGGGAAGGGGACATGGAAGGAAAGGAGATGTTAGCATGGAATGTATGTACAGCCAGGAAGAATTCCATACACAGAGATTTCAAATTTTATGGTTCTATGTACCCATCACATCCCTGTGATGTATCTTTGGGCTTAATAGAAATCCCTATTATACACAGAACTTTTATGTTTACAAAATGCCATCCTGTGTATTTTACTCAATTCCAACCACTGCAGAAAAGTGAACGCCATTTGTATCACTCTTTCTTTCACAGATAAGAAAATTGGAACCTAGATGTCAGGTGACTTGCCCAGGGCCTCACAATTGGTCATTGCAAATCTGAGTCTTGGAGGACTGGAGAGATGGCTCTGTGGCTAAAAGCACTGGCTTCTCTTCCAGAGGACTCATGTTCATTTTCCTGCACCCACATGGGGACACAACAACCACCTGCATCCAGCCCTGGTGATCTAACGCCCTCTTCTGGCCTCCATGTGACCCGGGCACAGAGGAAATGCACAGACATGCATACAAGCAAAACACCCATACACACAAACTAAACTTAAAAAAAAATTAGAGTCTCAGCTGGGCAGCGGTAGCATGTCTTTAATCCCAATACCCACCATCAATCCTAGCACTCAGGAGGCAGAGGCAGAGGCAGGTGGGTCTCTGAGTTTGAGGCCAAACTGATCTACAGAGTGAGTTCCAGGACGGCCAGGGCTACACAGAGAAACCCTGCCCCCAACCCCCAAAATAAAACCGAATCAGAGTCTCCAAAACAAGACTGCTCCTAACACTCTGCTGCTGCTTTTGGCACCGCCCAGCACAGGCACCGAACCCGCACAGACTTTCCCATGTATCCTGGCGGACCCTCATCAACTATTTAAATGTGACGTAATTAAAAGGAGAGCGCCGAGGAAAATTAAAATCGCTCAAGCAATGCAAAGGACTGGGAATGTTGGTAGAGTGTTTGCCTAGCACACAAAATACGTCGGTCCCCAGCACTGAAATCCAACATGGTTGCCTGTAATCCCAGAGTTGGTAAGGTGGAGGCGCGCGGCTGATCAGTTAATCAGGGAGGCATTCTGGCCATCCACATACAAGGGTGACAAAGATTCCCCCTTACTGTGAATTTAAAAAAAAAGGGGGGGGGGGAGAAAAAAGTTAAGCCTGGTGTGGTGGTGCATACCCTTAGTCCCAACACTCAGGAGGCAGAGGCCAGTAGATCTCTGAGTTGGAAGCCGGCCAGGTCTACAGAGTGAGTTGGGAGTTCCAGGTCACCCAGAACTACACAGGGAAACCCTGTCTCGAAGAAAAACCAAACTAAATCAAACCTAAAAAATGGAGCAAGATAGTAATAAATCAGGTTTCCATTTAAATGCTGGCAAAACTATCAGAGACCTGGTCCTCCAGGGCCTGGTTGGGAGCAGTATTCAGGTATGGACTCAGTATTCAGGGTACAGGTTAGACTATGTGTGACCTGTGCTGTTTCCCGTAAGGGTAACCCAGGCCCTGGGTGTTGGTCCTTTGGCCTTTGTTATAATGAGAGATCAGAAATAATAAACATGAATTTAGATTTCCTAAATTTAGCAGAAAGTGTGTATGTGTGTGTCTATAATTTTCACTCCCAGGTAACTTCACTGCTCTAACAGGATAAAAAGGAGCATGTGAGCGTGTGTGTGTGTGTGTGTGTGTGTGTGTGTGTGAGTGATCGTGACTAGGAGTGAATCAGGGCCCAGGCAAAAGGAATAAGCACTCATATCCCACGGGTGACAGGCAATCTCTCCTGCAAGCAATTTACAAGATCAGCTATGACTTCACTCCAAGAGGAATAAGCTCTCCGTGTCTAAAAGGGCGGGCATAGAGCCCCCTCCTCACATTTCCAGGCCTTGTGATCCTGGACCTGGATGCTCTCTAACAGATCCAAGCCCTTCGCTGATGAGCGAGACCTAGTCTTGGGGCGGGGCAGGGGTGCCTAGGCATTGCCTCCTTTCTAGGATAAGGACACTTTAAGACCTTTGATGCTCACACTCTTCCGATACCTCGCATCCTTCACACATCCTAAGTTTGAGCCGCCTCCGCCTCCAAGTCAACCCCGCTGAAGCCATAGGGGATAAAGTTTCTTCTGGGTGCAGATGCAATATTTTGCTTTTGGGGAGGGAGAGACTAGTTCAAATGTGTGTCTGCGATGAACTTGAAAAAGAGAAGGACCTAGATTTACACCCTTCTTGGGTGAAATGAATCTAGGAAGCGGACGGGTGGCCCCACAAACCCAGGGAAGGACTCCTAGAAAGCTCCCTTGGGGAAGGGCGGGGCCCTGGGCAGTGAGGCTGGCAGGCGCTTGCCCTGGGCGACATCAACTCTCCGGCGGCTCTCCGGGCTCTTGGTAGTGTCACCTTCCCCGCCCACCGGGAATCTTTCTTTCCTCTTCCTCGTACACTCCCGGACCTAGTACCAGCTCTTAACACTGGTGTGTATGTGGGGTGGGAGTGGGTGGGAGATGATGCCTTCTCAGTCCCGTGCAGGCGCGCCCCCATCCCCGGACCCGGATCTGCCGCTTCCGGCTTCAGTTGCCTGGGGCTACTGAGGGTACTCCAGCTCAGCTCTGCACACCCAAGCTCTCCCTCCTTAGTTGGAACTCGTCCGCTCATTTTCCTCCGGCTGGTTTCCTTCAGTCCCCAAAGCCAGCCTGTCTCCCCAACTCCCGCTTTGCCGCGCTCTCAGCTCCTCCGACCAGAATCTGGGTCCAGCCCTGGACTTAGCCTGAGGCCCAGGGAACCGACCCCCGACTCCTCTCCCGAGACTCTGCGCCCCCCGCCGCCCCCTGCCCAACAACCCTCCCAACCACAGGTAGCCTTGCCAGAGTGGCTCTCCCCGTGCCCGCAGCGCGCTGTCCCGCCTGGTCTCGCCAGCACGCGCTCCTATCGCAGGTCTGCGAGGTGTCCCGGGGTCCGCCCCTCTCGCCTGGTTCTGAGCCCCAGCTCACCCCGGCTTGGTGCGGGCAGCGGCAGCAGTAGCAGCAGCGGCAGCAACGGCAGCAGGAGCCGGGGCCGGCGCAGCTCGGGCGGGCGGCGCGGGGACGCGGTGCGCGGCGCAGCCATGGGGCTCTCGGTCCGCTGGGCTCGGCGACGCGCGGCGCTACCCAGGGTGGGGGCCTCTCGCAGGCTCACAGAGTCCCGCGGGGCCGGCGCCGAGGCCGGGGCCGGGGCTCGGGCCGGGGCCGAGCCCGGGCGGCGGGAGGCTGGGGCCGCATGCTGGCCTTAGCGGGGAGCGGGGATCAGGGAGAGCGCCGCTTGCGCCATCTTGCACCCACCGCGGCGATCTGTCAGCCGCGCCCGGGGTGCGCGCTCCGCTCTCCGCCCGCGCCCGCACCGCCCTCCTCCTCTGCCCGCCGCCCCCCCTCTTCTCCCCTCCCCCAGCCCCCTCTCCCCGGAGGCCGGGTCTGGGGAACAAAAGAGCCGGCGAGCGCTTTAAGCTGCCGGACATTCCCGGCTGCGCGGCGGACGCGCCCCCTGCGCTTTGAACTGCAGCGGGAATAGCCGGCGCCGACCCAGGCTGCAACCGGGTGTCCGCTCCTCGTGGCCGGTCCGGACTTTAGGATCTGGGAAAGTGAACACTTATAAGAGAGGGTCCGGGATGCGGAAAAACACGAAAAGCTGAGGGGTTTGCTCTCATCCACTTTCTCTGAGGTGCCTGCCCTGTTCCACAATGTCCAACTCTGTTTTAAAGACAATTTTCTTAAAACTGTTCAAAGTTGTTAGAAATTTGGTATTCCCTAGGTTCCCAGTCCTGTCCGAGGGAACGGGTCGTGTCACTACAAGACTGGACTCTCTAGACTGAGGAGTTAGGACACTCCTAAAGATGATCTGGAAAGAGCAACACCAATACGACAATAAGAGCCCGATAGAAACCCGAGACCCCGCCCGGTTCTGCCGGCTGATCAGCCCAGTCATTCTCACTGAGTTCGTCTGAAACCTGAAGACAATAGTATCTCCCCTCAACTTTTCAGATGTTTAAAAGCCAAGGTCCAGAAAATGACCTGGTAACTGGGTAAGAACCCTGGAAGTTACAATCGCCAGGACCATCTCTGTGCCTTATCTGATGTTTCGCCTATGGGGATGCAACTCTTAAGAGAGACACTTATGTTACCCTACAAGGACCTTGAATCTTGGCCTCTTACTACTCTACACGACCATCCCATCCATCGGGTCCATCTTGGTGGGTGTGTCCATCCAAAGTAAATCCTGGAGGCTAGAGCCTTAAAGTTGGCAGCGCATGCTTCACGAAGGTGCTCTGACTTGACTGGAGTGGTCGGAGTGTATCGAGTCTCTCTCACCTCTGCTAGCAGAGCTTGGCCTGAGTTCACTTCGTCTCTCTCTCGCGGAGGCTGACATTGGACTCTTTAATCCCCCTCCCTCCACAGTGCTAGGATTAGGAGCACGTGCCACCAAGCTGTGGTACAGGTGGGTAAAGCAGTGCAGGCTTGGGGCCAATGAGATGGTTCAGGAGGGAAGGGCACCAGTGGCCAAGTCTGACCGACCAGCTGAGTTCCATCCCTGGCACCTACATGGTTGAAGGAAAAACTGACACCCAGGGCAAACTGTCCTCTGACAGCCGGCCACACTTGCTCTGTGGCACATGTACAGACCACACACACACACACACACACACACACACACACACGATAAATAAATAAAATATGCTAAAATTTTCATATTTAAAAGACGTTCAGAAGAGCTGGACATAGTGGCTCACATCTTTAATCCCAGTACTTGGGGGCCAGAGGCAGGTGGATCTCTGTGAGTTCAAGGCCAGCCTGGTCTAGCGAGTTCCAAGACAGCCAGAGCTACATAGTGAAACCCTGGCTAAAAACAAATACAAACCCTTCAGATCTCTAGAAACCAGTTGCCTGCACACAGACAAATCTGCATTATCATAAGGCTAAAATGATAGTCTGGAGTCATGTGAGCAGTGGAGAGATTCAAAAGCAGGGACCCAGGTCTGCCATTGCCATAAAAGGATTCTCTGAGGAAGGGCCGGGGTGAGGCCTCCACAGACAACAGGGAAGATAGTATTGGAGGAGGGGCCTCTCTGGGGTCTAAAGTCCCGGAATGCCCTCCTGCAGGCCTTGAATCATCAACCACCCCTTCTTGGCGTGTTCGGGACTCCAGAGAGGTCAAATTGGTGTCCTGAATTGCTGTCATTTTAAATTCATCTTGACAAGTGTTTAATTTTTCTTTATCGCAACCCTTGGTCTGAGAGTGATATGCAAATAGTGGCTATTCTGCTGCATGCACAATGTGTAGTATCTCTCTGTGGGATCTGTCAATTAACTCTGAGCCTGGCCCACCACTCACTTTGGGGGTGGTCCCGGGCATGACAGCCTTTGCTGGCTCCTGATTCCTTCCAGTGGGGGGAAAACCACTTTAGAGCCTCCTTAAAGATTTCAGTAAAGGGCAGCTGTCACAATTTGTGAGACCGTGTATACCTTTGAGTTCTTGGATAGTAAGATATTTGTGAAGATGAGTATGTAGCAGTGGTGAGCCAAAGAGTGCATTGCTAGCAGGTGCATCCCAGGAGAGTTAGGAGCGGGGCTCGACGCATCTGTGGGCCACAATGTAGGTCACAATCTTCCAACCTCTCCCTGCACAGGCATGCACGAGGTGCATGTGTGTTCACGCAGGCAAACACTCGTGACACATGCTAGGTGTGCTCATTCTCAACCACACAATGACATTTTCAGCCCCCTTGTCTTAACTTGAAATTTGAAAAAAAAATCATGTTTGTATATATGTATCTATGAGAATATATGCTTGTGTGTGTGTGTGTGTGTGTGTGTGTGTGTGTGGTTTCCTAAGTGCCCATTGAGTGGGAAAGAGGCTCCAGATTTTTTTTTTCTTGGACCCATCTTCCCTCTAAAAATTTACCATTTCCCATCCTGGCAGGAAATAAACTTCCTAGGCCAGGAAGACTGAGGAAACCCTAGTCATTTGGTTCCGTGAAGAACTATCATGAGGCTGAAGGATGGTTCAGCGCTTAAGAGTGCTCACTGGGCCAGGCGGTGGTGGAGCACACCTTTAATCCCAGCACTCAGGAGGCAGGGGCAGGTGGATTTCTGTGAGTTTGAGGCCAGCCTGGTCTACAGAGCTAGTTCCAGGATAAGCTCCAAAGCTACACAGAGAAACCCCGTCTCGAAAAAAACAAAACAAAAGAGTGCTCACTGCTCTTGCAGAGGACCCTTGCTTGGCTCTCAGTGCCCATACTGGATGGTTTACAGCTCCTGGAAGGTCCGGTTCCAGGGACTCTGAAGCACTCTGGCCTCCGTAAGCATCTGCATACGTGTGGTACACATACAATTACACATGTGTGTCCTGAGTGCGCACACAGACACAAGTCTTTAAGGAAATGTTTTTTAAAAAAGAGAGCAACATGTCTGGAAAATAGTTTATTAATTCATTATAGGGACAGATATATGATCAACGCCTTAGTGTAACACTAAAGAATATCATATTTGTAAGAGGAAACATGATGCTGGAAATGCAATTAAATAATACAGCATAAGCCAAGCATGGGTAAATAAGTGAGCATGTCAGTACTGAGTACACTTGTCATGCTTCGAGAAAAGGAAGATTTTCAAATGAGACTCAAGAATTTAAGGCATCCATGGCAAGCGACAAAAGGATTAATACCCTGTAAAAGGCCAATAGACTCTTTTCTAATAAAACCTGCTGCTGCAAAGCCGCAGATGGAGCGCTCCCCGGTTCCTCGGAGCCCGAATCATATATAATGCTCGTGCGTAACGGCTACTTTCTTATCAACTGTGAGTTATAGGCAGATACCAGATTTATTACTTATTTGCTTTTGAGAAACAATTTTCCACCCAACCTAATGGGTTATAAATTGTCTCATTTGCAGCTATTTAATTTAAACCAGAACCTCAGTGCCTGTTAAACAAGAACATGAGAAATGACTATGTGGTGTAATGCTAAGAGCCTACTGTTAAAACAGCTATTTCATTCAAGGCAAGGGGGAAAAAAAATCTAACCAACAAAATAAAATGAGACTTTTGACCTTCAGAGCAGTGAAGAAACACACAGTGGTGTTGGCCATGGCCACTCTGAATGCTAGAGAAGTAGTTCAAGTGACAATCCCGTCTTTAACGAGACGCGAAACCCACATTAATAATCTTTAGTGTTATCATAGGCTGGCTGAAGAGGGGAGGAGGAGGAAATGTAGGTGAGGTGTCAAACGTGAGTGACACACGAGGGTAATAAACACAGATGCTTTCAGGGGCTGCGGAGGCTGCAACTCTGCTGAAAGACATTAAAAAAAAAAAAGGAAAGATACACTGGTTATTTCTAATTTGGCCCAGAAGCCAGAGTTAACGCTTGGTATGCCAGCCGGTGAGAGAGCAAAGGTCCCACATGCTGCACCCCTGGAGAATGACTAAGGTGAGACATCAAACAGATGGCATGGCTTTCGTGACACAGGAGGTACAAGTCAGGCTTGTCCCTTTGTGGGAAGATGATCTCAGGATTCCATTTAACAAAACGAGCCAGCCACCCTTTTCCTGTGCAGGGACATCCCTTCTAGCATCTTGGAGGAAACTCCTTTCCCACTCCGAATCCACTCAAGTTCAAGGTTTAGGGAGCTGAGCTACTGCTGCTCACTTAACTCAGCTACCCTCATCCCCTCCAGCCTCAGCCAGAACTGGAAACTGCGTGGCAAAAACGCACACCCATTTTTCTGTGCAGATGGGTGGCGGTCATTTTGCTCAGCCACTGGGTTTCAGTCCCTACCCCTTCTGCAGCTTCCCTGGTACAGCCGGATTCATCACTTCCATAGAAAACCTACCCATCTCAATCCCAAGGAGAAGGGGACCAGGGAAGCCAAAAGGTCTTTCCCAAATCTACCCTGAGTGGATCATTCGCCTGGAAAGGGTGTTGGCAGGGAGCCGTGGGGACCCAGGGGTCACACTATGGTCTGAAACAGACATGAGGTAGTCATGTTGTTAGGGAAGGGTGCATAGGTTGAAGCCAGGGGCGAGAAACAGGACACAATGACAAGCATGGGAGACACAGAGACAGGGAAAGAGCAGTGAGAAGATGAGAGGCATCACAGGAAAGAGAAGGGCCCTGGGATAAGAGAGCAAGGCAACAAGAGACAGATCACTAGAACAATGAAGGGGCACAAAAGAGGGGATGGGGAGAAAGATTTTCCAAACCAGGCACTTCCCATATTACAAAATTAGGTGCAGGGTTGCTCCAGGGAGAGGGGGGCTGAGCTGGGCTC